GAGCCGCTACCATTATTGCTGATCCTTGCAACAATCGCGCAGAAGGTTGCACGGAGAGTCGATGGTTGCATGACTAATCTTTTTGGTGTGGAGGGAACCTGGTAGTAAGTAAGAATGCGTGAGCCAGGGGGAATGGGGCCAATTCAGGGGGTGGGGGTGTGTGAGCCACTTAACCTGTGGCAAAAGTTTGGGCCTTAGTGTCTGGTGTCTGGCCTTGTGAGGGAGACGCAGAGGAGCAAAAGGATTAGATGTCACAAGACCGGAGTCGATAGTTGCAATTCCATAACTATTAGGGGCCCATACGCGCATTGGGCGGCAAAGGTGGCACAATCTGTGCACATGCGAACCTTACACTTTCACAGGCAGCATGTTTCCTTGCCGCGGTCCGTTCTATTGCGTTCCTCAACATTGAGCCCTGCCCATTGACTCCTAACGCCCTAAACATTTATGTTCAAGGTCGTTCCATCCCCACTACACCTGTGCTGCTCACCCCGCAGAAGCAGACCAACTTCTCGGAGATCGTAGGGTTCCTTACAGGTCTCTAATGTCTTCCGCAGCTCTCGTGTATCATACCCTTCCCTTCTGCCTACGCGGAGGGGTACCCGCCAGGAAGCCCATCGCGCGGCAAGAAAGCAGTCAGCGGACGAGTCAGCGCATGATGTGCGATGTAGGATGTAGGACGTACAATGGTACATTCTAATTGACGCGAAATCACTACAGTACGCGCTGCGACTCGTCCGCTGACTTTGCCTTATTGCCGCGCGACGGGTCTCCTGTCGGATAACACAGACGGAGAGCAGGAATGGGACCACGCTGGCTCTACGGCGGGCGCTCCATTACCTTGTGTTCAGAATTCCGTTCCTCGCATTCGGACGGTCTCTCCACGTTGCCTGTTGCCGCTCTACCACCGGCTACTAGCCTTGGGTCAACGCACAACGTGCCCAAGAGATGGGATCTCAGGTGGAGGGGTTGCACACTAATTCCTAACTTCTTGACAGTCAGGTAAGCAGTGTGGCCGGCGAAAGCTACCAGCCGTGATAGTAGGCAGATAATAGCTGGCATCGACCGTGGGTGCCGGACCCACTGACGCAACGTGCGCAATGTGAGACGCATTGTGCATAGAGATCCGAGTGGGCAGAGGCGCACGGTGGCAGTGATGGCGTCGGCGACTTTTCCACCAAGGCCTAATGCAGGTGCTTCCTCTTAAGGCCGATGTCATAGTTTGCGAATCGAGCGATTCGCTAGCGAATCGCTGGATCCGAGCGTTGCGCCAGCGAATCGAACGTTGCACCAGCGAATCGAACTTTGCGCCAGCGAGTCGAACGATGTACCAGCGAGTCGAACTATGTACCAGCGACTCAATAGTGGCGGGACCCAACGTTCAAAGGAAGCCCGCCACTTTCAAACAGTGTCCACTGTCAAGTCCCGCCACTTTCAAAAGGGTCCACTGTCACGTGACACTGTTTGAAAGGCGGGCTTCCTTTGAACGTTGGGTCCCGCCACTATTGAGTCGCTGGTACATCGTTCGACTCGCTGGTGCAGTTCGATTCGCTGGTGCAACGTTCGATTCGCTGGCGCAACGCTCGGATCCAGCGATTCGCTAAATTCGATTCGCAAACTATGACGTCGGCCTAAGACAGAAAAAAAAAACTTGTCTCGAACACCATTTTCATTGAGTTAATCATAGACGCAAAAATACAGTAAACAGAAAATTCCCTGTCAGACTCAGTGGTATTCCACAGCTTTTTCGGCAACTACTCGATTATGATGCCCCCCCCCCCCCATTAACATGCAGAACTCATCAACTGTCTTCGATTTGTGAAACTTCGGTCAAATTCTTCGAAGCTTGTAACTCTAGCAAACAATACTTCCGATCATGTAATGAATAAGCGGCTTAAAGACGCTGTCGTGACAAGTCTGGAAAATGGGAATGATACACATGCCATTTTGAACACTGATTCAGCGCAATCTCAGAAAACAGAATGCTTCGGATATTCTTCCTTGAGAAAGCCGTAGAGTAGCAAAAAAAATTCGGGAGAGGTAACGTGCAAAAAATTCTGCATAAAACAGTGTTTGGAAGGTATTTTTCGTGCTAAAGATATGTTTTTTTGTCCAACTCGCAAAAGCTTCGCAGCAACCTTGGTCCTCGAAGATTTAAGCCATTCTCTTTGTTTTCTTTCATTTTGTCCTTTTTATTCACTGGCGGACATCTGGCATACATGTCTACATTTTCTGGACAACAGCGAACTTTTGCACCCACTTTCTTGAAGTGCAAGGGCATAGGGCGGGTCACTAAAGCAATAATAATTTAGTAAGCCCTCCAGAAAGCATATGGATCACTTCGATCTTTCCAAACAGAACAGTCCAGGTCATCCAATAAACATGAGCGTAATACGTCCTGAACATGACATGCTCCTCATTGCAGACTCTTTGGCCTTACTGTAAGTGACAATGGCCGTTGCCGCTCGTTTATCAAACGTATGAAAGACGATAGCATTGCATGTGAGTTCGTTTTTTCCATAGAGTTTATTCCCTGTTTACTGTACTCTGGGACAATTACTTCCTAATATGCTCAATACTTCCTACTATACTCTCTACTGTCTTCTTGCAGCTCGTGCTCGTCCAGCTCTTGCCATTGGTCAGTTAATTGAAAAAATTGATGGAGTCAATGTGACTGGAATGCGACACTATGAAGTAGTGCGCATACTCAGAAATATGCCGATAGGGAAAACGTGAGTGGAATGCTAAAAACTCATTCGATCATGGAGATGTGCGTAGCTAAATTTTGCCCACGCACTGCGTCGTAGTTTTGTGCCATGCAGAGCGCCTTATCTTCTGGAATCTCATCGTACAGTGAAGACAGTAAACACGATAGCTGGATGGCGGATCGGTTTTTATGGTGTTGTTGGCCATCACTGCTAGAAGTGGATAGGAATTGGTTATAACCGCGCTTAAGGCCTTTCAGGTCGTGGAGCGCTTTTCCGACATGGTTCCTTGCATGATGTAAAGGCTCATGCGAGGAAACACAGAACCATGGTCCATTTTTCCTGAACGGCTTCTGGGAATACTCAAAAAGTGGTCCAAAGTTCAATCCGCCGTGGTGACAAATTTTTGCAATCCATGTTGGAGCCTCCAAATTGTCGCCAAATTACGAGGATGACATGTTAATCGACGCTGGTGCCATTTGGACACAATTTGGAGGCGCCAACATAAATTGCAAAAATTAGACATCACGGAGGATCGAACTTTGGACCATCTCTTCTCCACTATTCTGACCTTCCTAGAAGCGTTCAGGAAAAACGGACCATGGTTTTGTGTTCCTCGCATGAGTCTCTACAAAGTGCAGGAAATCATTTTGGAAAAGCGCTCCATGTCCTGAAAGACCTCCCTTGTTAGGGTTCTCATCGACCAATGGCGCCAACGACGTCAAACCGGTCCGCCCTACAGCCATCGTGTTTACTGCGTTCAATCGTCTAGTGTCTCATTTCCAACGGCAATGATTTGCAGCATGAAGTATTCACAGGTTAACCAAGCTAAGGCCAATAGAGTTCTGTTTTCCTCTCATGAGGATCCCACGATAACGAAAATCAAAAAAGGGGAAACTCACCTTGTGGGAATAAAAGCGAACCTCCTAAGGATGAGAACCGCCACGAAACTTGCAACGAATTCGGATATGCCCTCGGCTGCCTAGCACGGTCCTCACCGTGGCGCTATCGGCGCGGCACGCCCACCGACTGGCTAACCACTCGCCGCAGGTCTCTAGCCGTTTAGCAGAGAGAGCGTTAGCGTTGAAGAGGGCAGCACCGATGAGAGTCGCATCAATGCGGAAATCAACGGGCAAGGAAAGGGTACCTCGGGTTCTGGACCGTCCCTCATGGTTTTTTTTTTCTGCATCAACCACTAACCGCCTTTACCTCAATTCTAATAAGCTATCTTTTAATCGTAGGCGCCTGTAATGTGCATGTGATACCTCGTATTTCATGGAAGAGACCCTGCTAAGATGAAGCGAACATCAGAGTCCTTTCCGAACTTCCACACTTTGCTGA